TCAGACACACCCTGTTTATCCCCCTCCCTTTTGTGGCTTAGACACTACACCTGAGCAGCATTCATGTTAAAACAGAGATCGTAAGACCTGCAGGATGGGCTGTTTGTGGCAATAAGATGCCAAACTGTAAACAAAACCTGGCCAGGCCTGGTGGTTCACGCCTGTAATCCCAGCACTTTGGGAGGCCGAGTGGGTCCGATCTTGAAGTCAGGAGATCAAAACCATCCTGGCTAACATAATGAAACCTCGTCTCTACTAAAAATACAAAAAATTAGCTGGGCGTGGTGGCCTGCGCCTGAAGTACCAGCGACTCAAGAGGCTGAGGCAGGAGAATCGCTTGAACCTGGGAGGCGGAGGTTGCAGTTAGCCGAGATCACACCACTGCTCTCCAGCCTGGAATACAGAGTGAGACTCTGTCTCTAAAAAGAAACAAGACCTAGGGTCATGCCAGGCAAGTGTTAAGTCCCTCACCCATACACTTAAAAGAATAAACTATGTTCTCACGGCCACAATGATTCTCTTTTTCTCTAGTAGCTAAATAAGCCCTGGCCTTGAGATAAGCAATGTTGAAACAATTTGCCGCTCCTCCACTGCCAGACACTAACTGATCCCCGTTCCACCAGCCACAACTACAGCTCTGATTGGACTAGAGACTGATTTCAGGAATTTTTTCTGATAAGAGACCACTGATCATGGATGGGTTCTGGCCTATTTATAGACACTGTGCATTGAGGTCTTCATGTCCTTGCTTCACCTTTTGATGTGCTGGGCCTAGTTGTAATGCATTTAAATGTAAAGTCTCCAACCCAAGGTGAACATGGGTCATATGTAACTTGCATATTTGTTCAATACGCATGCATTAGGACCACCTCATGAATATTCAAATTCCTCCTATAACCTGTTGCATATATATATTTGGTCAACCCGTTCAACTTAAATTTCTTTCCAATCCCTCCTCCCTTGAAGTGTCTGTTTCCAGACTCTGCCAAAGACTGAGCTCCCCAGCCCATCAGAATGGCCACCTTGTAGGCTGTAACCATTTAAAAGAAATAAAGTCTTAAACCTATAATCCCAGCACTTTGGGAGGCTGAGGCGGGTGGATCACCTGACATCAGGAGTTCGAGACCAGCCTGACCAACATGGAGAAACCCGTCTCTACTAAAATCACAAAATTAACCAGACGTGGTGGTGCATGCCTGTAATCCCAGCTGGAGCCACTCGGGAGGCTGAGGCAGAAGAATTGCTTGAATTGGGAGGTGGAGGTAGTGGTGAGCTGAGATCATGCCATTGCACTCCAGCATGGGCAAGAAAAAAGAAAGTCTTATCTCCAAATCATAGCTCTCATGATTTTTCAGTTATCACTTTTGATCTCTATTCTACAGATGAAGAAACAGTCTCTGAGAGCTTTGTACTGGATTAGAGCTTTGTACTGGGTTAGAATTAAACTGACACCCAAGCTCATGCTCTTTCTGGGACATAGAGCTGTCACTTTCAGGGAGGGATGCTAGGAGATGGAGGCAGTTGGAACCAGGGGAAGGCTGCTGCAGGGCAAAAGAGCCTGGACATGGGAGCTGGGGAGGCAACTTCCCAAGGTAGTGGTTGGAGGTAGGGAGAAACCTCCGGGTGGGGTTTAAGCTGCTGCAGGGAGCACAGCAGGGGCTATACAAGGCTAGGGCGCTGGAAGAGCCAGGGGCTGTGTTGAGGTTAGGTGGCTGTGCAACCTGGACACCCACCCCGCCTGCACATCTGTTCCTCTCCTAGCAGTTAGGAGATGAGCTGTGTCTTGATGGAGAAGCTGGGCCAATAAAGACAGGGGAAGCCCTGAATGCTTGCCAGGATGGGGCCTGTTTCTTAACAACTTCAGTTTCTTCAGCTAGAGAAACTGAAGCCTGTTTATCTAGGGAGAGATAAACAGTGACTCCCCCATGGTCTCCACACTCTCCTGACCTCAGTCTCCCAATCTGAAAAAAGAAAAGGTTGAATTAAATGAGCTCCACATTCCTTCCCACTCTGACCTCTGATACCAGGCATCCATCCTTGTTGTCCTTGGCTCAGATCCCAGCCCCTGCCACATACTTGACATGTAGCCTCCGGCAAGACAGGAGGCCTCTCTGAGCAGCAGTGTTCTCATGGGTGAAATAAGGAAGACAGTGTCTTCCTTGGGCAGAGTTAACGGGCCATACACGGGAGTGTGTCTGCACAGTGAGGGTCTGACTCCAAGGCAGCGTCTGGCGGCCAGGGAAGGCCAAGGCTCTGGCTGAGGTCCTCATTTGTCTGCCTGGCCCGTAGCTCATTTATAGATATCCCCTTCCTGGCTGCCAGGCCAGAAGGGAAGTGGGAACGAAGATGCTGAGGCAGCAGTTTGGAGCCTTTTTCAGGAAGAAGCCTCTGGCCACTCTTCCCCTTCTCATCCCCCCCACGCCCTGTCTGCTGGGCAATCTCACTGTGATCCTCAGGATAGGCCTGAGGTGGGTGGTTGGATGTCACCATCTCCGTTTTACAGATGGGAAGACGGAGATCCAGAGAGGGCAAAGGATCTGCCCAAAGTCCTACAGCAGGATTACGACAGCGCCGAAACCAGCATTGAGCTCTTTAATCTGGAGCCCAGCACTCTTCCTTTGTACCCCAAAGCAGATAGTTCTATAAAATGAAGAGTCTCCTATTTTTTCTGGTTTACTAAAAGACATTTTCCTAAGTGGATTGACTTAAGGAAGGGCAGGGCTATGCTCTGCAAACAGCGCAGGGTTTTATGAACAGCATCATTCTTAGCATGCTAAGACACAGGGCTCTGTGACTATTATGAGGCCCTGGAGGCTGCAGAGTTTTACAGATTGCGCCGGGCTTTGCCAATAGCACAGGACTCTAAAAAAGGCATCAAGTTTTGTAAACTGTGGGAATCCACAGATGGTGTTGTGATCCACACACATGGTGCTCTGTAAAATGCACCTTCATGTAATACTTGCATGAGACGCAGCAAACACCACATACTGGCAAGTGGCAAAGCCCGGGTGCAAACCAGTGTGGTCAGACCTCAGACTTGGGCCACTCATAGCAGGAGCTGACTATGGGTTAGCCAGGGAGCTGGTCAGAAGGCATGTTAGCCTAAGTCTCAGAGGCTCCTGGGTACCTGACCCTTGCTCCGGTTTCACAGCTCAAGCTCAGGAATATTCTTGGACCAGGCTTTGCCAGCCTAGGGAAGTTGAGGTAATAAACTAAAGCTGCTCATACCAGAGGGTACTATATATACCATGGCCTGGGAGGTACTGTGCATTGCTTGACTCAAAGATCAATGAAATAATCCAGGTGTGGTGGCTCACACCTGTAATCCCAGCACTTTGGGAGGCCAAGGTGGGCAGATCACTTGAGGCCAGGAATTCGAGAATAGCCTGGCCACCATGGTAAAACCCCATCTCTACTAAAAATACGTGTGGTGGCATGTTCCTGTAATCCCAGCTACTTGGGAGGCCAAGGTACGAGAATCACTTGAACCTGGGAGGCCAGGGTTGCAGTGAGCCGAGATGGCCACTGCACTCCAGCCTGGGAGACAGAGAGAGACTCTGTCTCAAAAACAAATGAACAAAAACAAAAAGATGACATAAACTTGGCCAGCTGAGCTGATCCCCCTGCTGAGACCGTTCCATGCATAGAACCTCTTCAGTCTCTGGGGCCAAGATGAGCGTAACTGGGCTTCCAGAAAGTTTAAAAGGGTCTTCATACCTGTAATTTGGAATCTGGAAGGTTGCACCTCTGCCGATCCCTGTGAAGATTCACGGTGCTGACTTTGGTCAGAAGGATTTGGAGAGAGAGATCCAATTTGCTTTTCTTAAGCAGGGTCTAATCAGGTCAGACCCTGAGTCAAACCCATCAGGATCTGGTCTTTCTATCAATCTAAGCCAACTCTTGACCTTCCTCACTCACATTTCTGGTTTCTCAAAGCCTCATTCATTTATGTAACAAGTATCTGTTGAGTGCCTCCTGAGTGCCAGGGAGATCTGTGATTATTTCACACATCCCCTAGTTCCTACTAGCACCCTCATACAGCAAGTAGGAGCCAAGTGGAGTGGATGTATGTTTCTCTGTGATTGCACCCTGAAAGTGTGCAAACCCACATCCTCATTCCAGGTAAAGACCTTATTCCAGGGACGGGGTCAGGTTCGCTTCCTCTTCTTGGATTTGGGGAAACACAGAGATCTTTCTCAGGCCTGGGTAGAGGTTCTAGCATCAGAGGTTCAAGGCACCCACCACCTACTAGCTGGATGATCTCTGGCAAGTTACTCAGACTGAATGTCTCATTTGTAAAATCAGCAAATAAATAACCTGACCTTAAGGTTCACTTCTGCATTTTAGATTTGGGGAAACTCAGAGATATTCCGCAGAGAAGACAGTCTGGGTGGAGGGAAAAGCCTGATTCTAGCATCAGAGGTTCAAGGCATCCACCACCTACCAGCTGGGTGATCTCTGGCAAGTTACTGAGGCTAAACGCCTCATTTGTAAAATCGCGAAATAAATAACCTGACCTTACAGCGTCAATGGGAGGACCCAGTTGGGCCTTGCATGTGAAAGTGCTGTGCAAGCTGGGAAAGGCAAAGTGGATTTGCTTTCCCTTGCTGCCCTGTTCTGAGCCCCACCTCTGCCACTCCCTTCTCTGCACTCCAGCCTCCAGGCTTGGCTTCTTTCTCCTTCACTGAACCTTCACAGTGGCTCTGCAAGGGAGGATTAGTGTCCCTTCTTTGTAGATGAGAGAACTGACGCTCAGGGAGATGCTGGGACTTGCCTGAGATAACTTGAGCAGCAAATGACAAGTGAGATGGGACCCAGGTCTGTCTGGCTCCTGGACCTCCATCCTCAGTCCTCAGTCCAGAAAACTCTGGGAATTTCACATTTTCCATTCTGTTTCCCTCCTCTCCTTGCCTAGATGGCTGAAACTGATGGACCTCCTACCATGAGCTCCACCCAGGCAGGCTGCCACTGGATACTTAGTGGACAGAGTCCCTCCTTGCTCTGGATTCTTGGCGCTCAGAGAGGAGATGAGGGATTTAGTGAGAGGGGATGCAGGCTTGAGGGGGGCAGGGGTTCAGTGAAAGAGGACAACTGCTCAGTGGGGGAACGAGGGCTTTCTATGGGGTCCTCCTATTAAGGGAGGGTGACAGAAGTTCTGTAAAGGGAATAAGAGCTTGTAGGAGAAGGGCTCAGGTGGAAAAGGGAAGGGCAGTGAGGACTTCGGGGGAAGAGGGTGAAAGGCTGGGGAGCTTGGGGAGACCCATCAACAGCCCCTCTGCCCCCCACCTCTCTGCTGCTAACAGAGCAGGATAAAATACCTAAGGGCAATGCTGAGGCAAGGGGCTGGAAAAGCACAAGCGAAGGCTGAGCCTCAGGGAGGCGGGGCGCAGCTTCCTCCTCGCAGAGAGGCTGGACCTGAACAAACCCAGCCTTCCACAGCTGTGGAAACAAAGCAAGGGAGAGACAGAAAGAGAAAGGGACCCAGGGAGACAGACACTTGGAGACACTTGGGGTTGAGTTTGAGCAGGAATCCCTAACCTGTGCCTGGACGAGTCCGATGTCCTGTGTGGCCCAAGAAGAACTGACCCAGTGTGTGGAGTTCTCACCATTACTGCAGCCCTGCTGTGGCTCACTAGCTGCTGCCTCCAGGAGCCCCTGAGAAGATTCGCTTCTTCTCCCCTGCTAAGCTCCAGGTCCTGAAATTGAATTAGGGCTGGAGCTCACTGCACCCTAGCAGTCATGGGACCCAGGATAGGTAAGTCTGGACAAAGTAAGGAAGGGGCATGGAGAGTGAGCCTGGGGGACATGTTCCCAGAGGAAAGTAGAGTGGGTGGGGTGGGTGCTCACAGCTGTTGGCACAGAGCCAGGCACGTGGCCGGAGCTCAGTGAAGGTGTGTTAAATGAGTAAGTGAATGGCTAGAGGAGCATGAAGGGACACTATTTACTCACCTGCAGCCAGGGAACGCAGCAAGCCTCGTCGATGAGACAGAGACCTAGAAGACAACAGAAAGAGGCCCCTGACCCCCTCATGGAGTCCTGTTTCTCCTCTCAAAGGAAACAAAGACAGAAATAGACAGAGAACAAGAGAAAAGTGTAGTCAGACAGAGTGCAGGGACAGGCAGACTCAAATAGGTGCACAGGAGGTCGGAGAGCGAAACATCAACAGGTGTCAGCAGAACGCAGGGAAAGGGAGGGAGGTCAGACCCGGAGAGAGGGCTGCAGCAGAGACTGGGAGAGGCAGAGAGGCAGGAGACAGAGCAGGAAAGAGAGTCAGACAGGGACAAGTGCCAGAGAGCTACAGGCATACCTGCAGAGTCAGAAGATCCACCCAGAAGACCAGGGATTCAGAGTGACCTGCAGAGACCTGCATGGGTTTACCATGGAGTGGGGAGGAGGCTGGAGGAAAGAGGCCTTGAAGCTCTGCCTGCAGGATGACAAGGAATCCCCCTGCAGCGAAGGCGGTGTTTCTGGGAACAGCACCTGCCCCAGCATTTCCTGGAAAGGCAGTGCGTTAGAAGAAACAGTCTTTGGCCAGGGAGAACTCCAGGTCAGACGCCTGTAGCAGCCACCTTTGACCTCTTTCCCAGCTGTCGATCCTCCCCTGGGCTGTATGAGCCTCACACCCATTTGGGCAAGGCCCAACTTACTCCCAGGAATCCCACAGGGAGAGCTTCATAGGCCATGCAGACACTGGCTGAGGTGCAGCTGCAGAGACTCCAGGAGAACACAGCCACAGCCTGGGGACTGCAGTATGGCAGGAAGGGCGGGATGGATGCTTCCTCTCAGGGCACCTCACAGGACAGATGAGAATGAAATCAGATTTGGAAGGGGTGGTTGGGGGAGTGTGAATGGGCCATTGATAAACCAAATTCCCCATCAGCCTTGGTTTGGTATGGGTGGGAGGAATGGAGAGCCAGGGGTACGGGGACTAATAAAGACTTTGGCTGCACTGCACCTCCGCTAAAGACCCCCAGGACTATTTTTCTGGCCCCAGCTCTGGAATATTTTCCAGGTGCCCCCGACCTCACACACAGACAGCGGGAAGCTGATCCCAGCATCTGCCTAGTGAGCCACTGGATGCCACCTCTAACCTCGTTTCCTGAGACTCATTCTGGGCTGTGGCCAGGCTTACCATGACACTGAGGGATGTGGGAATGCAGGTGGGGTAGGATACAGAGCCCAGAGCCTGGGAAGAGTCCCCAAGGGAGATGGGGCAGCTGTCCCGGTCGGGGCAGACACTGGAGAGGAGTGAAGGTCAGATCTGGCTCCAGCAGAGCCCCTCCAGCAACTCACCACACACCCCTTAGGCAGCAGTTTCCCTGCCTATGTGGGACAGCCATTCACACCGTGTGACTCAGGTATTTCAGTTCCCCACCTGTTCACCTTTGCTCAGGAAGCCCCTGCCCACATCCCATCTGGTGACATTTGCCCTGCTTTCCAACTCTTCCAAATGCCAACTCCTCCAGGAAGCCATCCCAGGTTCCTCCAGATGGAGGTAACCTCTCCCATATGCTGGTAGCCTCATCCCCTTGTTTCTGGTGTTTCTGTTCCTCTCCCCAGCCCATCTGTGCTCAAATGTAAGCCATTCTAGGGCAGACAAGTGGGGCAAGGGAAAGAACCAGCAGTCCCAGGTTCAAATTCCAGCACTGCATCACTGGCTTTAAGAGAACTCAGTGAAATGTTCTCTCCCGACCTTTTTTTTTTTTTTGAGATGAAGTCTCTCTCTGTTGCCCAGGCTGGAGTGCAACGGCACCATCTCGGCTCACTGCAATCTCCCCCTCCCGGTTTCTAGTGATTCTCCTGCCTCAGCCTCCCGAGTAGCGGGATTACAGGTGCCAGCCACCACGCCCGACAAATTTTTGTATTTTTTTTTATATTACAACTTTATTATCACATGTATCACAACTTTATTGCTTTTTAAAAAAAATTTATTTATTTTACTTTAGGTGCATACTATGTCTGGCATTTCTCCCCATGTTATCCCTCCCCTCCCTCCCCACCCACCACTGTCTCCTCCCTACCCCCCAACTGCCCCCTGTGTGTGATGCTCCCCTCCCTGAGTCCATGTGTTTTCGTTGTTCAACACCCACCTATGAGTGAGAACATACGGTGTTTGGCTTTCTGTTCTTGTGTCAATTTGCTGAGAATGATGGTTTCCAGATCCAAGTCCCTACAAAGGACACGAACTCATCATTTTTTATGGCTGCATAGTATTCCATGGTGTATATGTACCACATTTTCTTTGTCCAGTCTATCATTGATGGGCATTTGGGTTGGTTCCAGGTCTTTGCTTTTGTACACAGGGCTGCAATGAACATACGCGTGCATGTGTCTTTATAGTAGAACCATTTATAGTTCTTTGGGTATATACCCAGTAATGGGATTGCTGGGTCAAATGGAATTTCTATGTCTAGATCATTGAGAAATCGCCACACTGTCTTCCACAATGGTTGAACTAATTTATATTCCCACCAACTGTGTAAGAGTGTTCCTATTTCTCCACATCCTCTCCAGCATTTGTTGTCTCCAGATTTTTTAATGATTGCCTTTCTAACTGGCGTGGGATGATATCTCAGTGTGAATTTTTGTATTTTTAATAGAGGCGGGATTTCACCATGTTGGCCAGGCTGGTCTCGAACTCCTGACCTCAGGTTATCCGCCCACCTCTGCCTCCCAAAGTGCTGGGATTACAGGTGTGAACCGCCACACCTGGCTGTTCCTCTTTTTAATAGGTGAGAAACAGATGCTCAGAGGAGACAAGCAAGGTCCAAGCTCACCCCAAAGTAAACATCAGGGTGGAGGCCAGCCCCCTCAGGTCGGCCTGGGACCAGAGCCCTTCCTCTCTGTGCCATTGCCCTTGGGCTTTCTCTTCCCTTCCACTGATCCCACACAGGTGTGCATACCAGGGAAGGAGATAGCATTGCAAATGCTTAGACAAATGACTACCTGGCATGTTTGTGAAGCTAGTGAGCTTCCCAGTACCGTCGGAGGAGTGGGGGTCACTGGGTAACATCTTGGGAAGTTAAGCCAAAGAAGCTGATGGGGTCCAGTCACAAGAGAATCTGAGTCTTGGGAACATTCATAATAACCCCACTCATGTATGCAGCACTTTTCTTGTTTTATTTTGTTTTGAGACAGAGTCTCGCTCTGTTGCCCAGGCTGGAATGCAACAGCACAGTCTTGGCTCACTGCAACCTCCATCTCCTGGGTTCAAACGATTCTCCTGCCTCAGCTTCCTGAGTAGTTGAGATTACAGGCAAATGCCACCGCCATGCCCAGCTAATTTTTTTTTAATTTTTATTTTTGAGACAGAGTCTACTTCTGTTGCTCAGTTTCGAGTGCAAGTACACGATCTTAGCTCACTGCAACCTCCGCTTCCTGGGTTCAAATGATTCTCCTGCCTCAGCCTCCCAAGTAGCAGGCCACCATGCCTGGCTAACTTTTGTATTTTTAGTAGAGACGAGGTTTCACCATATTGGCCAGGCTAGTCTCAAACTCCTGACCTCGTGATCCGCCCTCCTCAGCCTCCCAAAGTGCGGGGATTACAGATATGAGCCACTGCACCTGGCCTGTGTAGCACTTTTATGATGACAAAGCACTCTGGGCCCATTTTACAAACAAGGAAACAAAAGCTAGGAGGAGATCTATTACCTGGCCAAGTCCATGCAGCTACTCAGCAACAGAGCCAGGGCTCAGACTCAAGCTGCCCAAGGGAGACAGAGCCCTTGCTGGCCTCCTCCTCTCCTCTTTCTGGACAAGTCTGTACTGAAGGCTCCAATGTTCCCAGCCTGTGCCTGGTGAACACAGGCCTGAGAAAGCTGGTTCTGCAGAAAGCCTGCCTGATGCCCTCTCTAGACTCCAGGGTCTCATGCCAAAACAGCTTGAAGTTGGCCATTTGGATCACCTTGTGTTTGGAGGACTAGAGATGATACAGACTGAGATGAGATAACATCAACCCCATAAGGGGTTAATTTAAGCACACAGAGAGATGAGCTGGAACCACATGGAGGGGATGGGACCTGGCCTTGAGCCATAGCTGCATATCTCTGAGCCTCTGACACCTTGTTTTAGGCCTAGGCAGACGGGCCTGGGTCCCCGTGGGCTCAGGGCTCACCCTACCTCCAAGCCCTGATTACTATTTTTTAGGTCATCCTGGGTCTAGATGGGGTAGCCAAGGTTACAACTGGGAACAGAAAGTCCCAGCTCAGGGTCCCTGGCCGAGCTGGGAAACCACCAGAATGTTTGCCTGGCCCTTCCACGACCCTGCCAGATTCCTTCAAGAAACAACAGCTGGAATCTCACAAAGCTGTACCTCAAGCATACTATTATTGTCTTTCCAACAGACCACCCAAAATCCTGCTGCGAGGTTTCCCAAATATGACAGCCAAGTCCAATGCCTGGAGACACGCCCCTTTCCTGCCTTTGACTCTCTCTCCTCCAGGATGCTGGGCCAGGCCAAACAAGGAACTGGAGCATTCAGGGCCCCCATGCTGCCCCCATCCCAACTCACGTGCACCACCTCAGTCCCCACCCGCAGCCCCCGTGTTCCAGCTTTCTCTTCCCCTTCATCTAATTTAGTTCAATTCAACAATCTTGTTTTTTGTGGGTTTTTTTTTTGAGATGGAGTTTCACTCTTGTTGCCCACTCCAGCCTGGGCAACAAGAGCAAAACGCCATCTCAAAAAAAAAACACAAAACACCCTCAGCCTCCCAGGTTCCAGTGATTCTCATACCTCAGCCTCCTGAATAGCTGGGA